CCCCCTTTCCTCTCTCCGCGAGGGCTCTTCTCTGTCGTCATCACCTCTACGACGACGACGACGACGATCACGACAACGATTACAGCTTTTGTACGGTCGAGTATAATCGATTATCGTTATCTCCTCTGTTTTGGCGCGACGTTTCGTTTTCGTCAGCTCTTGTCGCAGATGCGTCGCGAATACCCGGCTCGATCGAGCTTCCGAGATTCGACCGATCAATAGACTCCGCGACGTTGAGCCGATCGTGTACACCACTCTCCCTCGTCGCGCTCGTTCTCGGAGGCTTATTCACGAAGCAGCAACAGCAATAGCGACGCGGCGAGGCCGCGCTCGAGAGTGCGACACCGACTTTCGATGAGATTGCCGCGGTCCCAGCAAATTGATACTTCTGTTACCACTGAGGCCACCGCTGTTTCCGAGCGCATTCTCGTTCTCGAACGCACCCAGACACGGCAAGACGCTTAACGAGGTTGACGAGCTGTATCATATTGATACAATTAAGCCTAACTTACAATGTGCTCTTTGCTCCCTGTTCTCTGCTTTTTATCTCTTGCGCCTTTGCTTTACCAACGATTGTGTCTTTTGTCACGTGTCCTTACGTTTTGCCTTTTCTGAAGTCCGTCAACTTTCTCATTTCAAAACAAGAAACACAAGAGACATCACGAAACCGGTGAAGCTAAACGAAGTTGGTCAGACTATTATCTAAATAAAATGAATTCTAATTGGTCCACACGAAGTGACACCTTTTCTCAGAGAGAACAGATTGTACACGACGATGTTCCTTGATCTTAGGCGACTAGAAGACAAGAAACGGAAAGCAGAAGCAAAAAACAAGACGCAAAGAGCACATTGTAGATGAAGCTTTAGCGCGATGGCGATTTTGTGCGTTTCTTTTTGCGTCTCCTCCTCCTTGTCTGCGGAACTTATCAGTCAAGAAGGACTCAGACGTCTTATACGACGACCGTATTTTTGACGCGCTATTTTTTTCGTGAAGCCGTAAGAACGGAAGAAGCACTCTCGAGTCGCGTGTCGTTTTTGTTCTTTCTTTTCGCGCTGCGAAAACTCTCAGCAAATTCTCCATTCCACGTGCATTCTCTTTTCTGTCGTCTCGTCTCTCGCTCTAATTCTTCTACTATTTGTCTTTCTCTCTCTCCCTCTCTCTTTCTCTCACGCTCGACACGTTCGTTTATCGTCACGCGCGAGAGAAGGAGGGAGTGTGTTCGCCGCGAGAATTTTGTAGTACACTTTTTTCTTACTTTGTTTACGCGCGTCGACGACGCTCCCGCCGCTCCCCCGCTGGTTTTAAGAGAACAATCGACAAGCGCTCCCGCTACCGTGTATAAAATGCGTGGATCCTCTCGATAATTAGATCTTAGATTAATCTATCTTCATGTCACACCCTCCCTCCACCTTCCCTCTCCTCGCGCTTTCCTGGCCCGCTCACCCAACTCGTGTCGCCTTCTCACAGCTGTCAGTAGCTATCTTGCGTTCGTGTATGTTTACTGTAAAGCTCGTAAAACTTTATGTTGTTATACCTGTAGAAACCTGCGCCCTGCAGGTGCGCACATACGTGTATCGATTAGGACTTATCATGCGAGTCGCGTACAACTTTCATTATGTGTTATGCAAACGCGTTGATATTATTATTATTATTATTATCTTTAATTATGATTATGATTATTATTATTGATTATTATTATATTTTTAATTATATTATTACTGTTATTATATTTTAGTTATGACTTCAGAGCTCACAGAATCATCCGCGCGCATTTTCGCTGCCTCTTTCTCTTCTTTCTTTCGTTCTCTCTTTTTCTTTAACCCTCCAAGTGCCTTAATAATCCTTATCATGTAATTAGGATCGATAATGTGCGCGAGTGATATTTTAGTAAATATTCGATCGCAATAAGGTAAATGGAAGCGATGATCTCGCGATGATTCTGCGTGCTCGGTGCTCTTTCCTACCTTTCTTTCTTTTTCTCTCTCTCCGTCTCTCTTCTTCTTCTTCTTCTTCTCTCTATCTCGAACGGTTCCGTACTTATTGTCCGGACACACCGACGATTACTTCTCTGTAGAGCGTAAACACCCTTGGCAAACAATAAATTATTGTCATCATCCTTTATGTTCGCTCCGTTGAAGTTCTCCGTGCGTTCCTTGCGTCTCTCTCTCTCTCTCTCTCTCTCTCTCTCTCTCTC